TCACAGAAAAGTTAGATGACTGTTGACACTAACAATTTATTTTATATGAGTACCAAATGGAGATTGTAAGCTACTGATCATTTCATAAGCAAAGTCTCAAATATTTAAGTTAACACAATATTCATTACTCCTAGAAATTATCTTAATTATCTAGTTTCTCCAAGAATTGGTTTGTACTCCTTTATAAGCCATTTTTCTAAAGTCATTCTGCTTAAAATTAAAAGGAAATGCTAGCAGAAGTAAAATTTTGAAGAATTCTAATCCATTTCTTTTTCTGACCTTGAGCTAGAAAGTGAAGGAGGGTTGGAACTACTGGACTTAAGAAAGTGCCTAAGTCCATGAAGTCTTTTACATAGTGAAGTATCCCCATATTTTTTGTTATGAAGGTAGCAAGTGTCACAGATTGTACCCTGCTTTGTTCCCTTGAGTTTAACTGAAGGTTGTTTCTGATTTTAGAGACTAAAATCTGGGCACACTAACCTCTGCGGGAGGGAAGAATCGCTGTTAACATTTTAAATTCTGGAAGACAAGATTGCACACTAATCTCCTTATCAGCATCTTCTCTTTGCCACAAGGGTAACTTTCAAGTGCTACTTTCTACATCACTGTCTAATATGAAATATTAGACTGAAAATGACTATATCTCATATTATTACCACTTGGATTCAATAAGTAAATTTAAGTATAGTGGTATGTAAATTACAGTGCTCACTATAGCTTTGAAAATCTAAGTATAATATATAATATTTTGGCTTAGGAAAGAGAGACAAAAAGCTGACCTGTAGATTTTCTTGGTTATGCTTAAAAACCAAATTTCTACCCCAGGATACATAGTTGGAGTATTATTGTTTCTTGGTAATTTTTTTCCAATCATTTTTTGGGTTATAGATGTATTAATGGGATAGTAGATGAGTTGTACATGGAACTGCTTTTATGTGTATTCCTCCCTCTATGCAGAACACTTTTTTCCCCAAGGATCTCATTGATACATCAGAACTGTTTAAATTTTGCTTTCTTAGTGAGCCTTCTTTGCTCCACACTATCTAAACAGGCCCCCCCCCCCAATACTTTCCATCCTCATCTCTTGTTTCTTATCTTGCCTGCATTTCATATTTTCAACTAATCTAAAATCCTTTGCATATGTTCCATCACCTTGCCCCTAGCTATCAGCTTCACATGTACCAGTTTCTATGACTCTCCCCTGTGCTCATGTCTTCCAGACAATCTCTCTGGGGGTCTCAGGACGTAGACGGAGGTGTTCTCCTGAGCAAATCTGCAAAGTTTGCTTCCTAAGTTTCTTCAGGTCTCTTCTCCAATGTCACCAAACCAGAAGGCCTTCTTTGGCTATCATATTTCAAACAGTAGCCCCCGCTACTTTCCTTGATGCAGCCTTATCTTTCTTACTAGCACTTATAGATGTATATGTATGTGTTTAGTGTGTGCCTCTCTCACTAGTGTGTAAACTCCGTTAGACTTAATGTATTTTTGCTCATTAGTACGGCCACACTGCTCAAAACAGTGCTTGCTATAGACTGTCACTCAATACTTATTTGTTGAACTCATTAATAAATTCCTAACTTATTATCTGTTTTCCCACTAGGCTCTTAAGGCCCATAAAAGCAGGACAATTGTTCTTGGTATTCCTATAGCATCTTGAATATAGTAGGTGATAAATAAATACTGAATGAATGGTTTGTATGTGTGCATGTTTGTGTGTTTAGATTGCTCTCCAGGTAGACTCTAATTACCACAAAGACTAGAGTTACGGCTGTCTAGCTCACCAACGTATGCCAATCCCACAGTAGGGTCTCACACATAGTAGGCACACAATAAATAAATGAAGAATCCCCAGGACTGAGACCAGAATGAATAGGAAACTGCTCTGCCCATAGCCACCCAGAAGCTTCCACAAGGTTAATCTGAGGTCTTAATGGCAGAAAGAAGAGAGTTTAGGAGATGCACAGAGCAGTAAAAACCTTAAGGTACCCTGTTAGTGCTTTCCAGGGACCAACCCGGTCCTGGCAGACGCGTGCTTCCCAGATAAGACCAAGAAGCTAACACAGACTTCTGAGAGTCTTCCTTTCAGGTAATCTTTTGAATTCTGGGAGGACTAAATCTTAATTTCAATCCATAGCTTTGATCTGTTTGCTTAAAACCTTTGCCATGAAAATTCCAGATAAATCAATTCATGCTGACAAAAGGCAACAAATAAGAAAAATCAGATTGTAGCAGAGAATCTCCCAATGCCTAGAATAGTAACCTTGAAAACATCTCATTGTCTCACCCCTTCTTTCATGTTTTTCATTTGAAAAATGAGGATGCTAAAAAAGGAACTTGCTCTCAAATTATGGATTAATATTCAGGTTTGCTGAGATGTCCATGGGAGGTTTTGTCAAACACCGTCTTTCCTCCCTCTCCTCTCTGTCCACCTGCTGCAATCCCCCAGGGTAATAATCCCAGCCTTGGCCAGCTATGGCTGCTGATGGCAATCGTAAAGCACGTAGGGAAAAAGAAAGGTTTAACAACTGCTGGTCTATGTTCTCCCTGCCATCCTTCCCAGGGCCAAAATGTTGTGACTCTATAAACTGTACCTCAGTTCACTACTAAATCTCTCTGGCACTGAAAATACAAAGATGAGAACACATACAGCTCCCTCAAGGAGCTGTATTCAACAAGGAGAGAGAGGCAACAGAGTGTGAGAAATGTTCTGATGGGGCCGAAATAGCCGATGACCTCCAAGCACATCAAAAGGCATCAACACAACCTGCCAGACTGGGGTGATCTGGAACTTCTTCCAGTAGGTGACCAGAAACTGAGGCCTAATTTTAATTAATCCAATTAAAGCTGCACAGTGTAAGAATCATCTAAGCCAAATTCCTCAAGCAGCACAGAGGAAACCTGATGCTCAAAGAGACTAACTGACGCATCCAAAGTATCAGAGTTACAACTAGGGGCTAATTTTTTTTTGTAGGTAATTTTTCAGAACTCTTTATTTCACCAGTTTAATGATGCAATTAATCAATAATTATATTTTTAAAAGGTAGAGAGAAAAATATTTTTCTATATTGACTTTATACACAGCAGTGCTGCCAATAACCCATCATCAGTAAATTACAGACTTTGCAGAGGAGCTGCTGGGGAGTTTATTTAGATGCAACCACTGTCTCTCCTAGCAAGTGTCTTGAATGATGACTGCATGAAACCAATCACACTGGGGAGGATAGGCACAGACTAGCTGCGAACAAGAACAAACTTTAAGAATAGGTTTTAGTCAGATTGTACTTCCTCTCCACAACTGAGGGAGGCATCTAAGGGTTAAGGTAAAACCAAAAAGTGAAATAGTTTCAGTAGCGCGTAGTAGTACATAAAATTGCTCAGGTATGCAATTTTCTTGGATTACTTTTTTATTTATTTGTTCCTAACATAGTTGTTTTACCTGAGATATTTAAACACTGATTTAGTAATGGGACAATATAAAAGTTCATCACATTAAAACAGAAATACTTAGGAAATCCATCATGTCTCGTAGCTTGCCATCTGGCTCTAAGTGGCAATGGATGTATCCTGCTTAGTGCAGATGATGATATTGGGTGCAATCATGGATTATACAATGCATTTCTGAGTTCTTTACTGTTATCAATTTACTAGTTTGCAAATCAACATTTCCCAACATAAAATCAATCTTTTTTTTTCAACTCTTATCTCCAACTAATGTTGCTACGAGCACCACAGAACATCTGCCTTACGCCAGGAGATTGCGTTGAAGTCGCCCACAATCTCCAAATTAAAAACCTCACTGGCTTTTTCACTGTACTCGCAGCAGGATGCTCTCTTGCCTTGCCCCACAGCCCAGTTTAATCCGCTACAAGGAATATTTTTAGAGACACATCAAACTAAATCATTTTCGCCTGTGCACATCGTTTCCAAATGGCCGCCCGGGGTCCTAAATCCGGCCGCTGCGGACGGGGACAAGCAGGTGTCCTCCGCTGCAGAGTCGTGGGACTGGAGCGCCTTCACAATTGGACGTCGGAAGCCAGAAAAGAAACCAGAACACACGGGGACAGATATAACCCCTCACAGGTGCAGAAGAGAGGCCCGGGTCGCAGAGGAGTTCTCCAGTCCCGAGCCTTGGGGAGGAAGCAAACACTGATTCCCCAGTAAGTCAGAGAGCAGGACGCACAGGGTCGTAGGTCAGAAGTACAATTTCAACCCAGCTTGCGCTGCGTCCCAGAGCGTTCCGCAGCCCGGGCACCGCAGTGGCACCGTGTGGAAGAGAACAAGGTTGGCCGGGGCAGGGGAAACTGTGGATTGCCACAGCCGGAGAGCTCCCGGCGGCGGGGACAAACACGACCCCCTCCGCCTTCGAAGCGCGAAGCCGGGAAGAACCGGACCCGGCTGCTCGCGCCCCGCGTTGCCCTTTTGGTCGAGGGTAGCTCCCCGCCGCCGCAGCCCAGGCTCCGTGCGCCCCAACGCCGCTACCCCGGGGTGCGCCTCGTCCGCCCCCGGGCGGCTGCCTGGGAACCCGCAGCTAGACCAACCATCGTACCCCGGCACCGGGACAAACTTCCTCCTTTCGGGGCCCCAGGCTGCGCTTTCCTGGTCTACGGCTGCAGGCGCCCCCGCCCGGCACGGCGAGCTTCCTCCCTGCCCCTCAGCAACCCCGGGCCCCGGGCGCTCGCCGCGCATCCTCCCCAACAAAGCCGGCGGCCCGGAGGCGACCCGGTGAGGGGCTAGGGGTGGCGGCTGAGGTTGCCAGACCCCGGCGAAGGCACCCCTTGACCCGGCGAGTGCAGCGTGGTGGGGCAGCAGGGACGTGGCGGGCAGAGAAAGGGGAAGAAAGTATCCTGCTCTCGGCGCGAATGCCCTGCCTTCTTCGCTCGTCCACGCTCTCGCTCTGCTCCCCCTGCCCGAGCGCGTCCGCCTGTCCTGGTGGCAGTTGGCAGGGACAGAAGGGGAGGTAGCGGGGACGCAACGGCCTGGCGGGCGAGCTGCTCCCTTACCTCTGTCCAGAGTGAGCGGCTGGACCACTGTCAATGTCGCCATGTCTGCCGTGGGAGCCGAAGTGACGCTCGGCTTCAGCAGCAGCAACCGCTTGTAGTGAGAAAAAGAGGAGGAGATTGGGGGCGGGGGTGGAGAGGGAAGACGGAAAGGAGGGGGAGGAGGTGGGAAGGTGGTAGTGGTGGAGGAGAAGAAAGCTTGGGTGGGTCGGCAGCCAGATGGAGACGCAACTGTTTTGCTGCGGGCAGACCTTCAGATGCGGCGGGAAGCTAAGCAGGTAGCGGAGAGCGACCGCAGCGCCGGCTCTGGGAAGGAAGGCTCTGCCCTGGAACTTCGCTGTTCCACCCCAAGGAGCGCTACATGGGTGTTGTAGCTGGTGTGTTGCTTGCTTTCAACTTTCCAGTCAAATAAAATGGTCAGAGTATACGTGCGTCTGGGGGGAAAGGAGAAGATTGAAAAGGGATATGGGGGAAGGAGGTACAGAGATGAATTTTTTTTCAGAGTAAGAGAAATTGTCAAGCCTGTAATCCCATCCCCTGGAGAGAAGATGCTTCTAGTTCACAAATGTTGGGATTTAATTATAGCTGCTGTTTATTTCTGTTAAAGTTTTGTGGGGGGCGGGAGGGTTTAGTTTTTTGGGTTTTGTTTTGTTTTTTATTTTTTTTATTTTTTGGAATGTTGACGTTTAGCAGTTTGCAAGATAACTGACTTACGGCCAGGGTTCCATCACCAGGTCTTATTAAGATCCTGAGTATATTATACCTTAAAAGCAAGCTACTTAAAAATGGTTTTAAATTTGAGAGAGAAGTTCCATTACTAAGTTTGTAACACATGTTCCTAGCACCTTTTTAAGGTTATTTATCCAGTGGTTATTCAGAGTTGCCACTTACTAACATGTGTGTCAGGAATTGAGCCTCGAGTGTTACATGCCATGTGCCATGGCCTGATTTAGGAATTCGGTACAATTCCTGCTTTACTTCAGCTTCTGAGCTAGTGGGGCATGATGCTATTAAAAGGATGACCTTAGAGTCAGTTGATCAGGATTCAGTTATTAGAGTCTTCAAATACTGGCTGTGACCCCTTCAGTTGCTTTCACTATCTTGCCACTGTGGAAATAAGGGACCCTTATTTCCTGATGAGGAAATTAAGAAGTATATAGAAAAAATTGTATAAGCAGAATGGTGACGGCTGTGGATTTAGGATGGGAAAGGACAAAGCTGCCTCCATTCCCTTCCTTATGCCAGAGCAGAATTGATTGGACTAGCAATACATTCTGTTTTATAGCAAAATATTGGTCTATCATCTGTGTCATTGTCTTCTGATCACAATTTGGATTTCTGGAGATCTTTTTCATCTATCATCTACACTTTTAAAAAAGGAAACACGATTTCACCAATGATTTGAGAAAGTCAAAGATAATTGGCCATACGTCCAACCGACCCTAAAGACATCCCTAAAACAATAGTCCAATATGTCTATATTTTCACTGAATATTTTAGAAAGGGCCTGATCTTGAAATTCAAGCTTAGTTATGTGCTCTTTAGAAATCGTGTGATTTCTCACTGATCCCCAGTTTGCTCATGTGTCAAACAAGGGAACAACCTCTCACCAAGAGTTTGTAAATTGAAGAAACTAATTTTACCCCCTAATCTGAGTTTTGTGAGGGTCTGAATATGCTTTGAAAACAGTAAGGTATATACAAATTTATTTATGCAGCAAACGTGCATCCCATCTGAACTGTGTGGCATGCACTCTGCTAGGCGCTGGCCTTGCAGGGCTTCACGAGTTGTGGCCGTGGCCCTGGCCCTGGCCCTGGACAGTGCACCCTCCAGGCTGGGAGGAAAACGAGCCAGCTGTGAGAATTCCAGGCAGTAAGTGCTGTGAGCACCACAGAAAGGAAGTGTTGTGGAAGTGAGGAAGAAGCAACAGGTCTGTCTGATTACCATTATTCACATCTCCTAAAGCAAACAACAGAAAGAAGCTGAATTGTGCACAATAAAAGCCAAGTATGTTTCCAGGTTTTGCACAAAGTATCAAAACTCATGCAATAATTGAGGATGCAAAGAACATACAAATCCCTTGGCTACTAATGTAGTTCTTTTAAGAAGATATTTTATTATTACTATGTATTTGAGCAGTTTCATTCATAACTCTAAAAGCCATAATTGTCCCCATTTCAACACAAATCTGAGATCGTGAGGTCCATGAAGGTCCTTCTTGTCTTTTTGTTTCCTGATGTATCCCCAACACCAAACATTTAATAGCATGTTTCTAGGCTTATGCCTTGAGCTCCCTAATTGAAACTTTGTTTTGTCATTCTTTTTGTGTTGACTCTGTAGGGTTTTTATAAAGACTATAAGAGAAAGTAAGAGGAAGTACAGATCACTATATATTCATTGGTTATTATTTCTAATAGCACCAACTTCAATGCCTTGAGCTACTTACACAGGTGTAGAAGATGAATAATAAGTATCTGTTAGAATTTGTGTTATATGAAGTATGAATAACTACTGTCTCTCTGATAACATATATGAATTTCTGTATATTTGAGACATGCAGACGTAACACAATCTCTATAATCTCTTCTTTTGCTTGGGTAGATGTGACCATACGTAGGTCTCTCGAATAATTGCGTAGATCATTCCTGTGCTGTCAATGATGTGTCAAGGTCAATATACTTGATCTATTCATATGCGTGCTGCTTTGTTGATTGTGTATTAATCAAGGAATTGTTAAAATACCTGGCATTATACTTTTAGCTATTTGGTTGCACAATCACTACAATTTTTCATTAAGTAATACATAGTAATTTAGTTCATTGGCACCTATATTTTTAATGGAATCAATCAATTTAATACATACTTACTAGATAGTTTATATGTGCCAGGGTTTATGCCAGGTTTCTTTCTCTTCCCTTCTCTTTTTCAGCCCAGAAAAAGTAGATATTGTTATTTCATTTAATAGATAAGCAAACTGAGACTCAGAGGTTAAGCAATTTGGTAAAGAACAGTAACACCTGTGTATGGTGCCTGTACTATTAATTAAAAAACAGACTTCATTTTGTACTTTTGAAGATTTAATGATTTCAGCATTGTATTTCAGAGTTCCAGATATATAACTATATCCTTTCTCTTTTTTTATGTTTGAGATGAATTGAAAAACAAAAAAAAGGATTGCATAGAGCAAACTTAAGTCAAAGCAGAAAAAAACTGATACTGGTTCCATTTTTATATAAGTATAGGTTAATATTGAAACGAATACCTACTTTGAAATATAAAATATATTCTTGTTAAAAAAAGTAGTCATTCAAAGCTACATTAAGATCTGTTTCCCTTAAATGAATATTTTTTAATTGTGTGACAAAATCAAGAGAGGGTTTTCATAAACCATTAGCATACCAAGAATACGTGTTTAGTTAGATTATAAATGGAGTATAATAAGCACAGTTACATCTGAGAAAAATAGCACCTTCCAACTGGAATTCTTTCAGCCTTTGGTGTTAGAAATTATCTTTGACTGATTCAAAACACCACATTATCTTCCTTAATTCTCACAGCTTTGTCAAAATAGCACTAGATTAAAAGGAAGTGCCAGCCTATACTTTGGAACATAAAAGTTTGTGGGTTTTTAAAAAAAATCATCATGCATAGAGAACCTTACTATATTTATTTCATCTTTAGATTGGTTTTGGTAATTAATTTGTCTGCTCATTCAACAAATATATAATGTACTTACCATAAGCTATGCAGTGTTTCAGACCCTGGGATTTCAGTGAACAAGAAAAGAGCCTGATTGTGCAAGGGAGAAAGAGACCAGTAAACAAAGTAATAAACAAACAAGAAAGAGATTAATTAGTGACTAAGTACTAGGCAAAGAGTGAATAATTTGCTGTTTGAATTGGGTCTACAGTATAATGCCAGAACTATAGAAGACAGAGCTAAGGAGAAGGACATTCATTCCCAGGAGCAGGAGAGCAAAGCCAGGCTTGGGAGGGCAAGCGTGATGCATGTTCGGGTCAAACAGGCAGTTCAATTTAGAGTATAAGAAAAACAAGCCTAAGGAGAGCCACTGAGAGTCAGGTTGTGAAAGATAATATCATTAACAGAAATACAACAAACCCTCTTCATGAATTCCTTTGTGTCTGTCATACAACAATAAATGCAATCTGGGCTAAAAAAAAATAACAACTGTGTTGTAGCATCTACATTAAAAATTAATATAATATCAGAATGAAATGAAGACTTACTATTTCAGAGTTGGATTTTAGAAAACTAAAGATGAAGTATAAATATTAAAAGTCAATTCCAATGATTTTTTATCTTTCAAAAGAAATAGTAAAAACTTTGAAAGAAAACCTGTGAAATCTGTAATCTGAATGATTCCTCAGTTGTAGTGTCTTATTTGCGTTATTTTACATTACTAGTTATGTAAATCACAAGTATAAAAATTAACTTATTCTGATTCTGCATAACACATTAATATAAAAAGTACAAAGTCTATTACTAGAATGTTTTATTTATGCCTATGTAACTCAGAATATAAAATGATGTTTTTGTTTTTGTTTGAAATGTACATTTTTCTATTTTCACAGTTGGATGTTATGATAGATCTTTTTATAATGAAATTTAAATTTAAAGCTTAGAATGTTCTTTATCTTTATGCATCTCAACCTCATATTGACATAATTGGGAAAGCCCAAGTAATACAAGAGCGGCAAGATAAATAATTTTTAAAAGTGATACTGGACTCATCATTTTTCTCACATATACACAGGAGGTATTTCCAGACTTTTAGAACTCAGAACATGTAATGGCTTTAAAAATATTTTTATTACCATTGTACATTAAAAATTTAAGAAGTTCAATTTTTAGTCAAAAATTATGCTTTTATCCAACAAGTATTTATTATCCACCTGCAATATGCCAGATGCTTTTCAGTGTTAAATATGGAAAGAGTGCCTGTCCTCATGGAGCTTAGTTTTTATGAAGAGGAGACATAAAATACAAATATATAATAAATCAGATAATTTTAGGTTGTGGTGACCATAAACAGTGATATACTGAAGCTTGTTCATAGTTAATTCAAAACCCAATTATGTGCATCTTGTCCCAACTTCACTTTCAGTAACATCACA